CCATGTCGTAGTGCTGTTGGTGGTAATGGTTCTGCTGCGCGGAATGGTGCGCCTCCAGCGTCGTCTTGGCGTTGGCGGTCCGCAGGATGGTCCGAACAAGCGACCCCTCCTGCCTCCATTTCCTGCTCCTGTACCTGCTCCTCCTCCTCCTCCTCCTCCTCCTCCTCCTCCTCCTCCTCCTCTTCTTCTTCCTCCCCCTCCCTCTCCTCCTCCTCCTCCTCCTCCTCCTTTTTCCTCCTCCTCCTCTCCTCCTCCTCATCCGCTCCTCCTCCTCCTCCTCCTGCGCCTCCTCCTCCTCCCCCTCCCCTCCTCCTCCTCCTCCTCCTCCCCCCTCCTCCTCTCCTCCTCCTCCTCCTCCCCTCCTCCTCCTCCTCCTCCCCGCCTCCCCCTCCTCCTTCCTCCTCCTCCTCCTCCTCCGCCCCTCCTCCTCCTCCTCCTCCTCCTCCTCCTCCTCCTCTCCTCCTCCTCCTCCTCCTCCTCCTCCTCCTCCTCCTCCTCCTCCTCCTCCTCCTCCTCCTCCTCCTCACTCCTCCTCCTCCTCCTCCTCCCTCCTCCTCCTCCCTCCTCCTCCTCCTCCTCCTCCTCCTCCTCCTCCTCCTCCTCCTCCTCCTCCTCCTCCTCTCCTCCCCGCCTCCTCCTCCTCCGCCTCCTCCTCCTCCTCCTCCTCCTCCTCCTCCTCCTCCTACCTCCTCCTCCTCCTCCTCCTCCTCCTCCTCCTCCTCCTCCTCCTCCTCCTCCTCCTCCTCCTCCTCCTCCTCCTCCTCTCCTCCTCCTCCTCCTCCTCCTCCTCCTCCTCCTCCTCCCTCCTCCTCCTCCTCCTCCTCCTCCTCCTCCTCCTCCTCCTCCTCCTCCTCCTCCTCCTCCTCCTCCTCCTCCTCCTCCGCCTCCTCCTCCTCCTCCGCCTCCTTCTCCTCCTCCTCCCCCTCCCCTCCATCCTCCGCTTTCCTCCTCCTCTCCCTCTCCTCCTCCTCCTCCGCCTGTTTCCTCCTCCTCCTCCTCCTCCTCCTCCTCCTCCCCTCCTCCTCCTCCTCCTCCTCCTCCTCCTCCTCCTCCTCCTCTCATCATCATCATCATCATCATCATCACAGCATCACCACTCACCAGCATCCACATCCTCCTCCCCTCCTCCTCCTCCTCCGCCTCCTCCTCCTCCTCCTCCTCCTCCTCCTCCTCCTCCTCCTCCTCCTCCTCCCCCTTCTCCGTCGGACAGGAGAGCTACAGAGGAGGCAACCCCGCGCACGTCCTACGCCCCACCGCCCCCCAGCGGTCCGACCGTGGGTGGCCGCGCGGCCGCTGAGAGCGGGACTGCTGGCCGTCGTCGTGTGCGGCCTCGGTCTGCCGCGCGACCCCCCGACCGCCCCCGGAGGAGGAGGAGGAGGAGGAGGAGGAGGAGGACACCCTCCTATCATCCCCCCTCGCGAGCGTCGAACAACGATCCGTATACAGCCGAAAACATGATCAAGAAAAATATAAATTCAATCGATGCTGACCCAAATTTCCCAATGATTTCTCAATGATTAAGAAATCTGGGCCAGATTCCAGGGGTTTCTTCAGACAAATCTGCGCCAATTTCGCCGTTACCGCTGGACGGGGCGAACGCGCTGTAGAAACTGGGCCAACTTTCCGGCAAAACGGTGAAGAAACGCTGGCCAAACTTTTCGGGAGGAGATTTCTTGACCAGATGCTCGGCTGTATCCGTGTAGATGTCCTCGCAATCTGGACACCGAGTCGCGATCCCAAGGGTACACGATACCGCGGGCACGTCCCGCACGGATCATCCGCGCAAAGCCGTCCCGTATACATGGGCTCGCGGCCGAAAAGTATGGTCAGCAAGGCGTGGGTGCGGATACTCTGGATCGCTAAATAATCGCCCCCCCCCCCCTGGAGTGCCCGGGGGGGATGGCCGCGGCGCGTCCGCGGGGGTGTCCGGGGGCGTCTGGGGTTCGTTCCCCTCCCGCTGGGGCGCGGGGGTGGTGCCGGGGGGGGTTGGCTGCACCGCGTTTTCACGTTTGTCACCCCTCGGCTGATTAATAAGAAATTCGGAGTACGTATGACACCCAAGCCGTGGCTCATCCACCATCTCCCCCTCTCGAGGGAAGAGGGTCCTCAGGGAACCAGGTCCTGGACCCCGCGCCCTCCCCCCAGCCCCAGGATTGGCGCCTTGTCCTGAGCAGTTTCATGGCGGTCCAGAGGCCTGGGCGGGGGCTGCGGGAGGCCAGAAACGGCGAAGATGCCTCAGAACCTCTATCCCCAATCCCTACATCTGCCCCTCTTCCTCCTCGGCGCGGCCACGAGACAATCGTCTGAAGGAAACCCACATGAGCTCGTCGCTCGTCTGCGGAGTGGGGTGCCTGCATTCGAAACGAGAGGCTACCCAGCTGGCCAATCCCTGGATTCTGTCGTCCCGCAGGGCGGTGCTGTCTTGCAAATCGAGCGTGATTCCTCATGCAAGTGAGCCAAACGGCAACACTGCCTGTGAGGTGAGGGGGAGGGGGGGGAGGAGAAGGAGAAGGAGGAGGAGGAGGAGGAGGAGGAGGAGAAGGAGGAGGAGGAGGAGGAGGAGGGGGAGGAGGGGGGGGGAGGGGAGGAGGAAGTGAGGGGAGAGTAGGAGGAGGAGGAGGAGGAGGAGGAGGAGGGAGAGGAGGAGGAGTAGGAGGAGCCGCCGCCACCACCACCACCACAGGCGCGAGGAGCAGGGGGGCTCCTGGTGGTGCGGTCCACGCTTTCTGCTCGAGACGTCCACTGTCCCCAGCTCGGGGAGTCCTCGGGGACTCGTGGGCCTCAAGAGGTGCAGTCAACCCGTATCTTAAGGATGCGCGGTAAGGATGCAAAGGCCTTGGACGCCCATTTCGAAGCTTTTCGAGCGGGGCGCAGCCAACGAAAGTGGCGAAGGATGGACCGAGGAGGCACGGATGCAAGGGTACCCTTGGGAAGGTTGCCCATCCGTACTATGCGGATTGGATGTAACGACCCTGGCGGTTGTGGTGCCGCTTTTCCTTCCCCTGGCTCGCACCACCGTGAGTCAGCCGAGACCGTAAGGACGTGCTGCCGTCGCGCCCAGCGGAACTCCAATGGCAAGCATGTCGTTCACTCCTGACGTGATGCGAAGCGGCAAAACCTGTACAATGGCCGTAATGGTGATGAGGGAGAGTTGGGGATGGGTGATTGGCAAATTCTTGGGCTTGCGATGGTGTTGCGCCGGCTTGGCTACCAACCTGCCAAGTCAGTTGTCTAGTATATTGATTCGTAAACCTGCCCACTCAACCAGCGGCTAAGCTTCGAGAGCTCGCGACACCGAGGGGCTACCCAGTCGCGGGGACCTCTTGGAGCACTCGTCACACTATGTTGGTGCCTTCTGGGGCCGCTTCTGGGCTCTCTAGGAGCCCTCTTGGGCCTCTCGGGATCATACTGTGCCACGGGGGGGCTGGGTCTGCGGGCCGCCTGGGGGGGTTGGGGTCCAGGGCACGCAGTGCTGCTGGCCAGGGGGCGACCCGAAGGATGGACCCGCTTGATCTGAGCAAGGAAGTCCACACTACAACACTCCCACTCTAGCCCAGTCACGCGAAGAGAGTGTTTCATTACCTTGCGCGCGGAACCATCGTAGATTCGAGACATGTTCAAGACCTCTTGTGATCTCTTCGGGGGGTCTTGTGAGGGCCTCACGAAAGCAGCTTGGGCACACTTCTTGGAAAAAATATTCGGGCCTCCAGAAGGCATCCCAGGGCCACCTTGCTGCCAACCACGGTTGACCTCAATGGCTGGGTCACGCTTGAGATGGCTTTGGGAGGCCTCTTGACGCCGCGGTGGGCCGACTCGGGGCTCCCATTGGCCGTCCTGGGCCGACTTGGGGATCGCATGAGGGACACGAGACGAGGAGGAGGAGGAAGACGAGGAGGAGGAGGAGGAGACGGAGGAGGAAGAGCAAGGTGGTCAGGGGAGGCCACAGAGGCCTCGGCAGCACACGAGGGAGACCTAATAGGCCTAATATCAGATTGCTCCTTCTCCTACTCATCATCATGATCCTCGCCCTTCCCAATATCTTCCGCCTCATCGAAACCTTCCTCCTCTACCACCGTGTCCTCCTCGTCGTGCTCGTCCTGGTCTTGGTCCCCGTCCGCGTCCTCATCAGCATCATCCGTGTCCGCATCCTCATTTGCATTATCCTCTTTCTCCTCCTCCTTCTCCTCCTCCTGGCCACTCGTCATCCCCCTGAGAATCTGGCGGGGTGTCTTACTGGTCCTCCTAGGCCTCCTCCTGCTTCTTCTTGACATCCTCCATCCTGGTCCACTTCCCCATCCTCCTCTTCTTCCTGATCCTCCTCGTCCTTGACCTTTGTCGTCATCCCTGGTTCCACCACGCTCATCCTTCTTGCCATTATCCTGAAGCTTATTGTCGTTATTCTGTTTGGCATTCTCCTCCACATTCCTCCCCCCCAACCACTACGCCATCATCATCATTCCCCTCCTCTTCCTTCGTCGAGTAATCCTTCTCCCTCCAAGCTGATCCAAGGCCTGATCCTGAAGCCGACCCCGCGCCAACTGACCCGTTTCATTTCCCAGCGCGGAACGCCACTTTGATCGAATGTCTCATCCGCACATCCGTTCTCGACCGATCGATCCAAAGGATGCTGTATCGATCCCTGGTCGGCAGATCAAGGTATTCTAGCTGTGCTGCGTTGTCGTACTGGTCGCACTCGTGGATACAGTGGTTGACTGGCTTATCGTGGTGCTCTCCGTCGTGGTGCGGCTGGTCGTGGTAGTCCCAGTGGCGGTGAGGCTTGTCGCAGTGGTGCTACTCACAGTGGTAGAGCTCGACTCTGTCGTGGTGTGCGGAGACGTCGTGCTGGAGTCGCTTGTGGTCGTCGTTGCCGTCACTGTGCTCGTGCTTGTCTGTGACGTCGTCACGGTGGTGGAGCTGGTCCCACTTGACGTGTGCGTGACAGAAGTGGTGCTTGTTTCTGACGTGGTCACAGTGGTGGAGCTGGTTCCACTTGACGTATGCGTGACCGAAGTGGTGCTCGTCCTTGACGTGGTCGCAGTAGTTGTGCTGGTGTCACTGGTTGTCACAGTGGTGGTGCTGGTCCCGCTTGACGTGGTCAAGCTTGTACTTGAACTTACAGTCGTGCTGCTGGTACCCGACGTGGTGGTCGCTGTAGTGGTTACAGTGGTGGTACTGGTCCCGCTCGACGTGGTCAAGCTTGTACTTGAACTTACAGTCGTGCTACTGGTGCCCGACGTGGTGGTCGCTGTAGTGGTTACAGTGGTGGTACTGGTCCCGCTTGACGTGGTCAAGCTTGTACTAGAACTCACAGTCGTACTGCTGGTACCCGACGTGGTAGTCACTGTAGAGGTCACCGTGGTGGTGCTAGTCCCGCTTGACGTTGTCAAGCTTGTACTTGAACTCACAGTCGTGCTGCTGGTACCCGACGTGGTAGTCGCTGTAGTGGTCACAGTGGTGGTGCTGGTCCCACTCGACGTGGTCAAGCTTGTACTTGAACTTACAGTCGTGCTGCTGGTGCCCGACGTGGTGGTCGCTGTAGTGGTCACAGTGGTGGTGCTGGTCCCACTTGACGTGGTCAAACTTGTACTTGAACTCAAACTCGTGCTGCTGGTGCCCGACGTGGTGGTCTCTGACGTGGTGCTCGATGAGCTGGTCGCAGTTGAAGTGCTCGTCCCGCTTGACGTGGTCAAGCTTGTACTTGAACTCATAGTCGTGCTGCTGGTACCCGACGTGGTGGTCTCTGACGTGGTGCTCGATGAGGTGGTCGCAGTTGTAGTGCTCGTCCCGCTTGACGTGGTCGAGCTTGTACTTGAACTCACAGTCGTGCTGCTGGTGCCCGACGTGGTGGTCGCTGTAGTGGTTACAGTGGTGGTGCTGGTCCCGCTTGACGTGGTCAAGCTTGTACTTGAACTCATAGTCGTGCTGCTTGTACCCGACGTGGTAGTCGCTGTAGAGGTCACAGTCGTGGTGGTGGTCCCGCTTGACGTGGTCAAGCTAATAATTGAGCTCGCTGTCGTGCTGCTGTCACTGGTGCTACTCGTTTCTGTCGTGGTTACGAAGGTCGTGACCGTGCTGCTCGAGGTCGCACTGCTGGTCGTCTGAGACGTACTGCTAGACAACGATGCACTGGAAGTCAAGGTGGTGGACGATGCAGTTGTGCTGCTGGTCACGCTCGAGCTGGCCGTCGTGCTGCTGGTGCCGCTCGCACTGACCGTCGAAGAACTCGTCTCGGTCAGCGTGGTATTGAATGACCCTGTCGTATCCGTCAGCGTCGTGCCGCTGCTCACCGTAGTGCTGGCCTGCGTGGTGCTGCTCGACTGTGTCGCACTCGAAATCGTACTGCTCGACGTTGCGCTGCTCGTCTCGACCACGCTCACGCTGCTGCTCGATGTCGTCGTGGAGCTCACCGTGGAAGTGGCCGTGGACGTCGCACTGCTCGAAACCGTACTGGTCGTGACCGTGCTGCTCGAGGTCGCACTGCTGGTCGTCTGAGACGTACTGCTAGACAACGATGCACTGGAAGTCAAGGTGGTGGACGATGCAGTTGTGCTGCTGGTCACGCTCGAGCTGGCCGTCGTGCTGCTGGTGCCGCTCGCACTGACCGTCGAAGAACTCGTCTTGGTCAACGTGGTATTGAATGACCCTGTCGTATCCGTCAGCGTCGTGCCGCTGCTCACCGTCGTGCTGGCCGGCGTGGTGCTGCTCGACTGTGTCGCACTCGAAATCGTACTGCTCGACGTTGCGCTGCTTGTCTCGACTACGCTCACGCTGCTGCTCGATGTCGTCGTGGAGCTCACCGTGGAAGTGGCCGTGGACGTCGCACTGCTCGAAACCGTACTGGTCGTGACCGTGCTGCTCGAGGTCGCACTGCGGGTCGTCTGAGACGTACTGCTAGACAACGATGCACTGGAAGTCAAGGTGGTGGACAATGCAGTTGTGCTGCTGGTCACGCTCGAGCTGGCCGTCGTGCTGCTCGTGCCGCTCGCACTGACCGTCGAAGAACTCGTCTCGGTCAGCGTGGTATTGAATGACCCTGTCGTATCCGTCAGCGTCGTGCCGCTGCTCACCGTAGTGCTGGCTGGCGTGGTGCTGCTCGACTGTGTCGCACTCGAAATCGTACTGCTCGACGTTGCGCTGCTCGTCTCGGCCACGCTCACGCTGCTGCTCGATGTCGTCGTGGAGCTCACCGTGGAAGTGGCCGTGGACGTCGCACTGCTCGAAACCGTACTGGTCGTGACCGTGCTGCTCGAGGTCGCACTGCTGGACGTCGCGCTGAAAGTCCCAGTGGTCGAATATGCCGTCGTGCTAGACTCTGTTGCACTCGAAATTGTACTGCTTGACGTCGCCGTGCTCGTGCTCGTGCCCGTTCGAGTCGTGGCTGTGATGCTCGAAGTCCTACTGGTGCTCGTTTGAGACGTACTACTAGAAAACGACGCACTGGAAGTCCCCGTGGTAGAAGATGCCGTCGTGCTGCCCGACTCTGTTGCACTCGACGTCGCACTGCTCAAGCTCGTGCTCGTGCCCGTACTGGTCGTGCCCGTGGCGCTCGAGGTCACGCTGTCGCTCGTCTGAGACGTACTGCTAATACTACTCGTCACCGATGCACTGACCGTTGCGCTGCTTGACGTGAATGTGCTGCTCTCGCTCGTACTTTTGCTACTGGTTCCCGTCGTGCTGGTAACAATGGTACTGCTGGTTGCCGTGGTGCTGCTTCGAGTGGCACTGGTGCTTCCAGTCGTGGCGGTGTCAGTGGTGGTGCTGCTTACGCTACTGCTACTACTGCTGGTACTGCTGGTTCCCGTCGTGCTGGCAACAATGGTGCTGCTGGTTGCAGTGATGCTACTGAGAGTGCTGCTGCTTACCGTCGTGGCGGTATCCGTTGTGCTGCTGCTTACGCTCAAAGTGCTGCTACTGATGCTGCTGGTTTCCGTCGTGGTCAAGCCGTAATTGTCACCGTAGTTGCCAGTCAGCAACCGGGGCTCCTCAGCCGGTGCGCGCAGGGGGGCATGGAAGTGACAATCACCGCTGAGGCACGGGGCTTGTCATACCTGTGATTGCGACGTTCGTGCCACGTACTGAGACCATCAATGATGCGTACGACGAATGCCAAATACCCCGTTGCGCGTATTTGATCCTGGCCCCAGGGCAAATCTCCCTCCCCAAGCGAACAGCTAGGACCACAGGAGTGCCGGCCCCCCGATGCAGCAGCCTCTTCTGCAATGCAGGCGCTAGCTACAGCAGTCTCTGGACCAGACTCCACGGGTACAATAAGCCTAGAGGTTGTCCTTCCAGGTCGAAATCGACAAGACAAATGAAGGACAGGCCTGCGCTTGCAAGACAACGCGCCTCACACGATGGCCGCGAAGCGACCTGAGGACTGAGAAGTGGGACTCGATCCGAACCGACCGAACCGAGTTGGTCCGCAACCCGAACGGGCCGAACCGAACCGCGCCAGCCTCTGACCCGAACCAGACGGACCTAGCCCGACCGGACTGGGCGAACCAGACCAGACGAAGCCCATAAAGAGCCCCATCAGAGGCCGTGCATGAATCCTGGCAGCAGCGCGACCCCCCAGGTCCAAGACCCCCCCCGGGTTATACCCGCTTCCCCTGGTCTCGTGATCCCCCCTGGTCCCGGACAAGTCAAAGACTCAACCAGGCGAAACTCGGCCAGGCTGAACTCGGCCAAGCCGAACTCGGCCAGGCTTAACGTCCTCTCGCCGCAATGTGCTCCGAAAACGCTTGCTCCGACATCCCGATTGGTTCGTGACATGGGCGCCTGGACCTCTCGGCCGCACCCAAAGGCCAGGTATCTCATCTCGGACTGTGACCTGCTTATAGCCCCATACCTCGAAACGGCCCCCCATAGCCGAAGTCGAAAAAAACGGCGTCATTGTATTTGTCGTGACGTTGGGTGTTTGGGTCACTCGCCTGCCTTCCCCTCTCCCCCCCCTTCATCCACCTTCTCCTCGTGCTCCTCCTCCTCCTCCTCCTTCACCCCGTGGGGTTTGGGGCCAAACCCGAAGTGGAATACTAGGGGTGACCACGGGCTAAGGGGGGAACATCGAGCTGGAAGCGGCGGTACATCGCCGAGAGTTCGGCGATAGGGCTCCAATAGCGGGCGGGGTGGGCTATCGGGCCTCTATCGGCGATGATAGGGCGATTGGGGGTCGGTGCATCACACCCTGAGCCCATCCCTCCCTCACGCTGCCCTGAGCCCCCCCCCCCCCCCTGCCCCTGCTCCGAGGCCCCCCCCTGCTACACCAGTCCACACACGGAACCCCCTCCTCCCCTCCTCCCCCTCCCCCTCCCCCTCCTCCTCCTCCTCCTCCTCCTCCTCCTCCTCCTCCTCCTCCTCCTCCTCCTCCTCCTCCTCCTCCTCCTCCTCCTCCTCCATTCGTTTTCCTTATGAATAATTTCTCCCTGTCGCGCCCCGAGGTCCGTTGTTAGGGCGGGCTGGGCGTTTCGCCTGAGACTTCCTCACCACGTATGACTCTGAAGCTTAAAAATTGGCAACAGCTTCACAGATGGAGGGCGGGTGGTTTTCAAAATGTGGCTCTCCCCTTAGCGCCGCGCACATTCGTTCGAAGAATGTGCAAGAGCTTCACGGATTGAAGATCACCCGTTTTCAAGATGTGGCTCTCGCCTTCGCGCCGCGCGCATTCGTTTTAACAGTTTGCAGGAGCTTCACGGATTGAGAATAACCCGTTTTCAAAACGTGGCTCTCGCAGTAGCGCGCACATTCGTTCATGAAATTTGCAAGGGTTTCACGGATTGAGGGCGGCTCCTTTTCAAAATGTGGCTCTCGCTTTAGCGCCGCGCACATTCGTTTATGAAATTTGCAAGGATCTGACAGATTCCCACGATCTAAGTACCAGAAATGGTGTTTTAGAAATGGCGTGTTGGAAGGATTCAAGATTTTCCGGGTGCGGCAATTACGTTGATTCGCGGTGTTGGAATCCCAAGAATGGCGTCCTGGCACGATCCAGGATCGCCAAGACGAAACAGTCAGGTTGATCCATGGCGTTGGAATCATGAGAACAATGTTTTGGCATGCTTCCGGATATTCAAACGGTTGTCTTCGAACGAAGCAATTCCCTCAACGGAAATGACCCGTTGTAGGGGCCGATGAAGAGGGAGCTTCGAGGGAGGGTGTATTCCAACATCGTTGATGGTTCTTGGGTTTACACTGGTCCTCCTCCTCCTCAACCCCGTCGACATCGGGCCCAACCGCCTCCCTTCCTCGACGGCCATCTCGCCCTCGCAGAGGCACTGGAAGCGGGCGGGGCAAGAGTGGAGATACCAATGGCGCCGGGCGCTCGGGCGCCGCGAGAGAACTCGCGACGGGCGTCTCCTTCTCAGCCTGAGCCGAGACGGGTGCCTGTGCCGGGCCTCCGACGAGCTCGGTCTCAGGACCCAGAGCCCGCGGCGAAGGATCTGTCCTGGGGACGGGCTCGAGAGCTCGGGCGCCCACCTCCAGGATCGAGGACCGAGGATCAAGGAGCTCGGCGCGTGTGCCCCCAAAAGTCGGGGAGCAAAACTAGTACAGTCGAAACGCTGTCATAAGGAATCCGATCTAATGAACGAGGCCCCGTCTTTTCCATGAATTGAACTTCGATTGCCAATGGAAGCTTCAGGAAAACGTAAGGAGAACCGTCAAACAATTATTCACTGCGTGGAACTCGCCATATGTGCATCTTTTGCATTGGCATTTCCACCGTGAATGTCCAGGCGCAAGAAACTTCGAACATAAACGAGCTTGGATATTGACAGCCTGGGAGAGAGTCTAACTGCAAACGACTTTGAGTGTGTATGAGCCCCAGTGATACGAGTGAGTCTATGCGCGTGAGCCTGCGCATGGGTAAGCTTAGGGTGAGAGCGTCAGCACGTCAGTGGCCTAAGCATGACTGGGCGTGACTGAATTTTCCTGGGGTCTCTTGGGGCTTCCTGGGGCTTTTTCAAGTCTCCTGGGGCTCCTGGGGCCTCCTGGGGCCTCGTGGGGCTTCCTGGGGCTTCCTGGGGCTTCCTTGAGCCTCTTGAAACTCCTGGGGCCTTCTGCGGCTTCCTGGAGCCTCCTTGGGCCTCTCGGGGACTCCTGGGGCCTCCAGGGGCCTCTTGGGGACTGCTCCTCCTTGAGCCTCCTGGGGCTTCCTGAGGCCTCTTGGGGCTTCCTTGGGCCTTCCTGGCGCTTCCTGAGGACTGAGCCCCATGAGACCTCCTGGTCCTTCCTGGCGATTCCTGGGGTTTCCTCGAGCCTCTTGGGGCCGCCTGGCAGCCTCTTGGGGCCTCTTGGGGCTGCCTGGTACCTCTTGGGGCTTTCTGTGGCTTCCTGAAGTCTCCTGGGACCTTCTGGGGCCTCCTGGGGCCTCCTGGGCCTTCCTGGAGACTCCTGGGGAGGATCCTCCTGCCCCACACCGGCGCCCAGCAGCCCAGCGCCATGGAGGCCGAGGATGACTTCTTCCCCGGCATCGGGCAAGGGTTGCTGAAGAGGTCGACATTGTGCCACCCGATGGGTACGACGGCCATCTGGTGAAGGCGCGGCTGGACGCGCAGAACGTCCTCTGTGCGCCACCGGTCACGTCGGAACAGAGTGGCCCGTTGCCACCTGCGGCGGCGGTTTCAGCCTTGGCGCCCGATGCACCGCGCGGGCATGGCGGGCCCGAGACAGCGACACCAACGCCGAATGGCAGTGGCATCTTCCACCTCCCCCAAGTGCTGGCTGAGGTGCGCGACCAACTTATCCAAGCGGGTCTTGGATCAGGCACTCTGAACTTCGAGCAGTCCTACCTCGTGTTTGGTATGCCCGAGCCTCCTGCCCTTCTGCCACACGCAAATACGCGGAGGCACCAGGTCTGCCTCTGGGGCGACGCCCATGGCGTTTGAAACCCCGTTTCTTACACCGACGGGTCCGGTCGCGACTCAAGTGTTCCGGAGGTGCGGAAGTGTGGACAAGCAGCTGCGCAGCTTGATCCTTGCTCCTGGCTCCCAATTAGGGCGCGGTTCGGGCCCTTTCCGCACGTAGCGCAGACCGTCGGCCGTGCTGAGAGGTGCGCGATCAGGGAGGGGCTCGACGCTTTCCCTGACCACCAGTGCTCCGTCACTGACCTGCTGGCGCTCGCCCACGAAGGACAGCGTTGGCGCCCCGAGCTCGAGGAGGGTCGCGCCAAGCATGCTAGAGCGTGGCGGGACATCTTCGTGGCCAGCCGCAGGCGCACTCGGCGGGGCCCTCCCAAGTTCCGATGGACGCCAGCGCACAGGTCCTTGGAGGAGCTCGCGGGCACAGAGCCGCAGGAGCTGCGTGACTGGCTAGGCAACGGCTGGGGGGACTATTTCGCGCGCTGTGGTGCGGCCTCTCACGCGCTGGCTGGGTCGGTGGCCGAGGCAGCGACAGCGGCGCTGAAACAGCACCGCAAGGTCCTGCAGTTAACTTCGCGGGTGGCACTGCAGGCGGTGGTTCGCAAACAATGGGGATGCGACGTGGAGGTTCCAGGCCGCCTTGCGAGCAGGCTAGGCCCATTGTGGTGGCAGGAAGTACGGACCATGTCCTTGCTTACTGCTCCAGCCTCGGGCGGTACCGATGTGCCCAATGCGGAGTCACGGCCAAAACGGGCTCCTCCCTCGAGTAGCTGCAAACTGGCTTTCATCGTGCACGTGGCCCTTCGCGGGTTGCCAGTGCTCTCAACAACGAGTACTTCCGCGCCTTCGGCGAAGGCTGGGTTCTCTGCAGCGACCAGAGGGCTGGCATGGCCCTGGGCGCGGCCTTGTCGCTCGAAGGGAGCTCACAGCCCTCGCCCCCCGCAGCCTCGCTGCCACCTGCCCTGGCCGAAGGGGTCGGGGACGCCTTCGCCGCGCTCGGGCACGGCGTGTTCAGGGGCAACAACGTTTACTGTCGCAGACGCTGCGGGTCTCACTGTGCTGCGGGCAACGTCCGCACAGTGCGGAAGCTTGGAGTGAGGTGCGACGGGCTGTCGCCCACCGAGTCTA